AATCTGACCTGGGGGAAAATTCCTTCCTGATCCCACATATGGGGATCAGTTAGACCCTGGGCATGTGAGCAAGAACCAGCCAGTCAAACATCTGAGAGAGAGAGACTGCTCAGTGCCACCTCAGAGCCCTGGCCCTCCCTATCCAATGGCTCATCTCCAGCTGTGGCCATCTCTGATGTTTCAGAGGAAAGAGATTAAAGAACCCCTCCGAGAATACTCTGGGTGGAAAATGCCTTCCTAACCCCTGGAGGTGGCCAGTTGAAACCCTGCAGCATGAGCTTTTAGGAACATACAACAACCTAATAATAATATTATAATAATTAATAATACCAGGAATCTCAGACATTCCAGAGTTATTAGGCTTAATGTTCATGAAGTGCTTTGAGATTCACAGATGTAAGGCATTAAAAAACAATTCATTATTATAGCACAGACCTTTTAGTGATTCTCCTTACTGTTGTTGTTGTATGTCGCATATCAGCTGTGTTATATTTTTAACAAACTCAATAAAATACATCTTGGAGAATAAAAGGTCATATGCGTGGGTGAGGTAATATCTTTTACTAGACCAACATATTCTAAGGGACCCTTCCAGACCTGGTGCTAATATGTGCTAACTACTTCTGCTAAACTATTTGTTCCACCTTGTATTTAGCTGCGACATTCTGAGTAAATTTCCCAGCTGAGGAAGAGTTATGTGTAAGCTCAAAACTTGTCTCTCTCAAGGTTGGTCCAAATAAAGCTATTACCTCACCCACCTTGTCTCTAATTTCCTGGGACTGACATGGCTATAACAACACTATATGTAAATATTAGGCTGTTGTGCAGTGTGTAGTTGATGTAGTCCTTCTGCTCTAGAGATAGCTACATTTTAGTAGTGAGTGTGGGTGTAGTTTGTGAAGTATTTGGATCCCTTTGCAATGAGAGGTGCTAGATGCATAAGCCAGCAGTATGGGGGTTCATACTACTGTTGGAGATGGTCCAAAAACAGAACTTTGGATCCCAATCCTAGAGAGAGGTAGCAGGGGTGGTCAGATTTGAATCTCTGGATACAAATCTATCATTATGGTTTGCTGAAGATTGGCTTCCAGTCCAGCACAGAGTATTGTCCTAGTCAGATGTGACTGACATTTCATGAGAACTTTCCCTCGGCAACAACCACCTTCTAACAGAGAGACTAAGTTAACAGATGGTGCTAGGAGAAAGAAGACAGGAAAGAAAAAAACTTGACATGCATGAGTAAAGTCAGGAGAGAACTAAACATCAACTGACTCCTTGCTGACTGGAATTTTGTTAATTTCACACTATGACAGGGTTAAGTGCTATATAAATTTCTAAACAAACACACACATGCACTGAAATGCAGCTGCCTCTGAGATTAGAACATGGGAGCTCTTTGGCAGTCCACAATATAACAGTTTAGAACAAGCTGTGAAGAATACCTTGTTGAAATGATAAGAACATTGAGTTCTAGAAAGAAATTGTGATAAAATTCAAGTCTATGCTTGAATAGTAGCTTATGCCTAATAGGGTTGGGAGAATACTTTGGACAGAAATGCAAGCATGCCCCAGCTTGTGGTATCAGAGTCTGTTAAATGTGAATTGGAAATTAAAATGCAAAGCTCCCACCTTCGATGCTGTAGTGACAGATGCATAACTACACTGAGGTGTAGCATTACAAAATCATAACATGGAGTTGCAGCATTTTGACACACATGTCATCCTTCCACGCTACACCCTTTTCAGTAGTTGACCCAGAAGTTGCTCTTGAAACGTATTCCTGGAGTATGGAGGGAGAGTTGGAGGGATAGATGAAGGCTGAGTTTGGGTTTTCCACGCTCGTGGTCATTAGCAGAAAATGAACTTCCTTGGATTTTCCCAGCTCCTGAGTCCTGTTCTTGGCTTTTCTACTGACTCACTTAATTCCTGTCTTACCAGAGTTTTATGAAGCTTAATTAATACTTAAAATTATTTTGTAATTGTAATGAGTTGAGATCCTTGGATGACATGTGACATTTAAATGTAATTACAATGTTATTCTGACAAGAATTTTGCTTTGCAAATTGTGTTGTAGCTTCGAGCCAGGGTGTGAGAACTGCGGTAATGTAAAAGAACTAATATTCCTGTTTCATCATCTAAAGCCATAGTCTTCCTTTATAAATGCTATGGAACCTCAAGAGCACATGCGAGATTTCTGTATGCAGGATCTTTGAAGTAGGACATATTCCAAGCTTTTGTTGCCTGACCCTTTTAACAGTTAATAATCATTGTATCGATGGCTAGTTGATCAAAAGGTCGTAAGGTTCTTGTCCCAAGTCAGGCTACACAGAATTAAAATCAGTATCTTGTTGGAAGCCTCAGGGTGGATGGCAAGGAGGCTCACACTGAGGGCAAAGTAAAGCCTTAGAGATGGTTATTAAAATTAATAAAGCCAGAAGAGCTCCAAGCCCCATGAAAAAAGATAAGAATAATATAGTATTGGGGATATCTGTGGTATTGATCTTTGCATAAGCTCTTAGATTTTCATACCCCCCCCCCCTTCCTTGAGTACCTAATGGTGAGAGACAAAGGACCAGCCCTGTCTCTGGCACGGCAATGATTCCGATGTGGGGGGAGTGAGTTTTGTGCTGTTTAAAGTTTATACACGTGTTAAAGGGGACCTTGCTGAATTTGTACTATTGAGATAAATTTGTAACTATTGAGGTGTATGGAGAATATGTTGCAAACACAATTACTGCTGTGTTGCAATTTCTAGAAGTGGGAAAGGTCCCACACTTCATCAAAGATGAACAATTGTTAAACTGGTTTTGCCTGAAATGTTTTCAAGGGCATGTGAAGGAGCAATCCACACGTTTGGACTCGTGCCAACACTTATCATTAGGAGCAATGCGACGGATGGGATCTGTAACACCACACATGTTTTGCTAAAGATTAAGCAATGGCATGGTCCTTGTACATATCGTTCACAATCTTCTGGCATGAGTCCAAACGCTTACTTCCCCCTTAGATTTTGAGGAACTAAGGATAGCTTGCTCAATGGCAGAAGCTGGAACTAGGGTTACCATACGTCCGGATTTTCCCAGACATGTCCGGCTTTTTGGGCCTCAAATCCCTGTCCGGGAGGAAATCCCAAAAAGCCGGACATGTCCGGGAAAATAGGGAGGGAGGGAGGGCCTGGTGGTGCTGGGCCGGGGCCAGGGCCGCTGGGGCCGGGGCCGGCAGTGCGGGGCCGGGGGCCGGGGCTGGGGGTGCTTGGCTGGGGCCGGCGGTGCGGGAGCCGGGGGCCGGCCAGGGGCCGGCGGTGCTCGGCCGGGGGCCAGGGGTGCCCCTTTTGTCTCCACTAGGAGGCTCTGCCTGTATAAACCTAATGGTTGTGATGGTCAAGCTTGACAGTGAGAGAAAGCAATCACTTCTGCACTTTTTGTTCTTGGGCCAATTTCAGGCACAGCCTTTTTACAAATATGAAGTGCTGACATGATTTGTTTATATAGCAAGAAAATGATCCATGGTGTAGTCTCACCTTTATTCTTTATAAGGATGTTTACCTTGCCAAAAAGGGTTTTTCATGGGCTTCCCCTGGACCGCGATGAAAAGATGTGGCCATTTGTGCATTTTCTAAGAAATGAGCATTGAAAAGGGGCATTTTCTTCCAAGCTGGGGAAGGAAGAGTTAAGTAATTTTGAAACAAACCAGGCAAAACTGATGTCAGCTTTTTGATTTGCAGTGGCATCTATTTGTTTCTAAACAAGCAGTACATGAACTGCTAGCCATTGTATTGTTCTGTGGACAGACAAAGCCACTACATGGCTAGAAACGAACTGATTTTTTTCTAGTTAGTCTGAAGGTCTTGTTTATTGAATAACTGGGGAGACATTCAAGTTTGAGAAAGTCTATTCCCTGCTTACAATAATTCTTCATTTCTGATTGTTTATCTGACATTTATTCTCCAAAGAAACTTTCCTAATGTACTTAGCTAGTCTGCTACTGCATAACTGTCTAGCATCATGCTGAGTTAAAAAGAAACCAATTTTAAAATATACTATGAAAACAGATTGAATGGGCATTTGTAATATCTTGATCACATTGCCTGCATTGTAAGAATGCTTCCTTGGCATTCAGAAAATGGCAAGATGTAATGGGAATGAGCAAAAGCAAGAATCTTTACACTCTTTCATTTCAAATTGGATGCTTCGTAGTCTTTTACAAACACTGGGTCTTAGGGGAGAGTTAAAACAGAATTCAATAAATCCCCATAATCTAATGGCCAAAGCAGAATGTCAGTTTTATTTAAAGATCAGTTTAATGCAGAACTGTCTAGAGCAGCTCTGCTTTCTGAAAACAAGACATACTTTGGTCATCCTCAGTTTATATTAGTCCTTGTTAAATGCATAAATTGAGTCTCCGGACATACTTTGTATGTTTACATTCCAAATGTTTCCCAGCCATTTCTACTTTCTAACTCAGAAAGAAAAAGACACTTAGTCATACAGTGTTCAAGAATTATAGATATTCTAGACAAGCATAAAAATGGCATTTTACTCAGATCTGAGGAATTTTGTGTGTACCGTATCTCAGAGAAAATGAAATGCAACAGGAGAAGCAACTAGAGATCATCTATGCTTACAGGTTATAGGTACGGCAATTACAAAAATTTTTAAGAAACTTTATTATGAAAACTAAATAGCTGGTGAGCTAGTGAAAAAGCAAACTTCTAAAAACAAATCCTAACTGCTCTGCAAGATTATATTCACACAGCATGTGTCCAATTTTACTTTAGATTGGAGAGAACTGATAGATTTATTTATCTTGGTGTCCTCATTGTAATTCAGAGTGAGTACTGTAATACTTTTTAGACCTCACTAAGGGTAACAGTACAGCTGAAAGCCTAACCTAGCGTATATTCATCCCTCTGTGTAGCAAAATCCGATGACCTTAACTTTATCTAAGAAGCTAGCTGACAACTCTTAAGAGCATCACAACACATAAAAGAAAGTACTCACCAGTCATCAGCGTGTAATAATTTGGATAGGAAAGGCTGGGAAAGTCTGGGGTCATGTAATCCACTTTCACTCCCCTGTCCACAATCTCTTTAAAGCCAGGCAAGGACTCCAGTTCATTGTCATTGATGTAATCATAACGAAAGCCATCAATCAGAAACAGTAAAAGCTTTCGACGGGCAAAGGATGAGCTTGCCATAGTGAGAACCAGGAGGAAAGAAAGGGTCATGTGCTTTGCCATGTTGACAGAACTCTCGCCAGAGCACTGTCAGTGCTGCCTGTCCCTTTGCAATGACTCTGGGTGAGGTGTCTGAAGCTGCTTTCAGGGGCTGGACCTTACACTGCTCTCCTCACTTGGCTGGTTTAACTTGCAGGGTTTAAAGGTACAGCACCATTTATTAAAACTGCTTAGCTTGCAAGGTTACAGGTTAATTGCTAAAGTATGATTAACTTTGCTTCCAAGTGTATAGTGTGTGTGGAAGAGAGAGCGTGTTACTTTTGTGTTCAAGAAATGTACTAAGCAATGGAAAAACACAGTGTACAAGAAATTGGAGACTAGGGTGAAATTCCAGGGATCCGTCAGTGTTATTAACATTGCCTTCTGGCCTAACAAAAGAAAACAGTAGGAATAATGTAGCATTTGGTTTCCAGTTTCTACGTGTCTATTTCAGCATAAAACTCCATGTTCCACTTGGTTAGCTGTGTCTGTAAAAACCACTGAAATAATGCAAACAACTTAAAAAAAAGTAGCCACGTTTTTAAGTAGAAGAACTCTAATGGAGGTTAATAACCTCTTTTTTGAGTGTTTTAAAATGATCTCCAGGGACACAGAGGTGTAATTTATTTTCTTGCTATGGCTTTTGGTAGAAAACTGGACTAAGATTATCATAAAAAAACCCATCTTGTTATTTATTTGTATTCCCATAGAACCGAGGCGCCCCAGTCATGGCCCAGGACCCCATTGTGCTAGGTGCTGTCCAAGCAGAAAAAAACGACAATCCATGCTCCAAGTCTAAGTCCCTAAATCCCTGCTTACAGTCTAAGTACCCACTTGTGCTGTGGTGTTGTAATATTATTGTTTGTTGTAAGACAATCTATTATTAATGCAGCCCTTTTGTAAACGAGCAAGTTTTCTGTGTTCTATAACATTGTAAAATATCAATGAATGATTCACAAATTCACACATGAAAAAAAGTGTTAAAATTTTACCCATAAACAACAACCCAGCTTCCTCCTGCCCACCCATTGCCTGAAAATCTATAATCTTCCACAAGAGGATCGATCTCCTTTGAACCTCTGGTGCTACGCCTCTCCAGTTCTCACCTTTTGTGCAGTCCCCTGGTTTGCCTAGCGCGTACCTGCCTGACCAGAGATCCACACCCATTTCTGTGGCATCTGAGTGCAGCACAAATTTAAATACAGCAAAGAGCCAGATTGTGGAACTTTGTTATCCTAAATTCTCTACCTTTTCCCCTTTTAACCCCATGAGTGTGTGCTCTCTGAGCTCTGGTCAAGTGAAAAATTCTCTAAGTTATATCTGTTCTTATCAGTTTAATTTCTTTTGATGGACAATTGTGAACACACGTCCAGAAGATGGAATCTCCTGTAGCCATTTTTGAAAAAATTGATGCTGCTTTGAAGATATACTCCTCTCCTCCTATTTTGGAAGAAAACTCTTTTTCAGCTTTAGCTACACTGTCATCGGCTGCTGCTGTTCCTGCTTTCCAGAAAGCTCAGCAAAAACCTATCCTGAAGACCACCCTGGGTGCCTCACAGAAGACCCGGACCACCTGCAAGAACAAAAACATTAGGAGCTGGCTGAAGAAAACCCCCGTGGATACCTCTGCAGGGAGACCTGGCTCCAGAAGGATGGCTCTTCGGGACTTCACATCCAGAAGCAAGAATATCTCAACAGCTCTTCAGGAGGGGGACCCCCGGAGAACCCTGCCCGCTTCCCAGGACCAGGATGCTGAGCGCCGCCCCACTGGGAAGGACGCCACCACGGGAGCCCCCCCAACGACCCAGGACCAGAATGCTGAGCGCCGCCCTGCCGGGAAGGATGCCACCGGAGGAGCCCCCACGACGACCCCAGACCAGAATGCTGATTGCTGCCCCGCTGCTCCAGAGAGGGATGGTCCGGAAGGAACCACCTCCTCAACCCCAGACCCCAAAACTACTTACCACCCGGCTGTCCGGAGGAGGGCTGCTCGAAGGGGAATGCACTTCAGAACCCAAGATCTCGATGCCACACGCTGCCCTTCCAGGCAAAGACAACGTGGCCAGTGAGTCCAGTGCCCCGCCAAGCTTCTCTATCAGACCCAGAGGAATCACCTGGCAAGTCTGCAGGCACAACAAAGATCTGCCCCACGGAGGGTGAGGCAGGGGAAGAAGACCGCATCTACCTCCAGTACCCGCTCCCTACAGGTCTCCTCCTCTGCCCCTTCTGTCTCTCCGTCCATGGAGTCCAGACCCTCGCAGCCCTCAGCAAACACGTTTGTAAGACCTACAACAAACGGATTGCTTTCCGGTGTAGCCGCTGCAATCTCCCCTTCGAGACCCAAAAGAAATGTAAGTTTCATCAAGCCACGTGCAGGGGACCCCCCACGACCGCGAAAGTGAATCCCACTGACATCCTCCGGGTTCCAACCCTGACCGCCACTGATGATCTGGCTTCAGCACCCCAGCCAGCGTCCCCAGAGTCACAGCAGATAAGGGGGGACCAACCGCCAACTGAGGGAAGCGTAACCCCCGCCTCGAGGACTGACAATGCCACCAAAAGGACCAGTCCTGTCTCCAGAATCCCCACACTGGACCCTGCTGTGAGGGGGACCACCGCCACCTCTCAGGTCAACAACCTCACCAGACACCTCAGCGACCTCATAAAAAACATCCGGCACAACACGGACACGAGACGCTGCAGCGCTCCCCCACAGGTAACCTCATGCCACCCTGCCGTAGGAGCAACTAGCATCATCCCCCAGGCTGCACGGCGAGATCCAGCCAACAGAGGAGCCTCCTGTAGCCCCCAGATCCCACAGCTAGATCCCGCCTCCGGGAGACCCAACACCTCCTCCAAGGTTACCCAAAGAGCCTCTGACCGCCAAAAACCCCATGCCCCACCGAGGACCCACCAGCTAGATGCCGCCCGCAGAAGAACCAGAACCATCCCCAGCGCTTCCAAACACGACCGCGCCCCAACAAAGTCCAGCACCGGTGCTTCCAGAACCCCACTCCCTCCCAGAAGATCCAGTGCTGCCTCGGAGACACCGAGAGCTGTCCTACCCACCACACCAGGATCCCCGCCTCAAGTCCCACCTGAACACCGCTCCACGGTCTGAGGGACAACAAGGCCGCAAACCGTCCACGTAGCACCTGAACCTGCAGAGACAACGCAGCAGGAGGAGCGATGGCTACGAGCGAGGGTCGCCACGCCGTGGCAATCCGCCTGGATGGAGGAGCTGGCAAAGGCTGAGGACTTTGAGAACTTTGACACCCTGATGGACAGACTGACTGCAGAACTGTCTGAGGAAATTACGGCCAGAAGGAGGGAACCCCAGGAAGCCGCACGGGCCACTCGCAGATTCCCTGCGCTGAGCCATAACAACACCGCCAGAGAAGGCAGGAGAGGGGACGTCGGCCACCACTACGATCCGGCGGCTGCATCCCGTATTCAGAAACTATACAGGATGAACCGGACGAAAGCCATGAGGGAGTTCCTCGACGGGACCTC